AGCTACCACACTTTAGGTCGACCCCCTGAAGCACATCAGCTACCACACATTAAGTCCACCACTGAAGTACATCAGCTATTACACATTAAGCCCACTTCTGAAGTACATCAGCTACCACACACTAAGTCCACCACTGAAGTACATCAGCTACTACACATTAAGCCCACCACTGAAATACATCAGCTACCACACATTAAGCCCACCACTAAAGTACATCAGCTATTACACATTAAGCCCACTTCTGAAGTACATCAGCTACCACACACTAAGTCCACCACTGAAGTACATCAGCTACTACACATTAAGCCCACCACTAAGGTACATCATCTACCACACATTAAGCCCATCACTGAAGTACACCAGCTACCACACATTAAGTCCACCACTGAAGTACATCAGCTACCACACATTAAGCCCACCACTGAAGTACATCAGCTACCACACATTAAGTCCACCACTGAAGTACATCAGCTACCACACATTAAGCCCATCACTGAAGTACATCAGCTACCACACATTAAGCCAACCCACTGAAGTATATCAGCTACCACACATTAAGCCCTAGGCCCACTGAAGTATACCACACATTATCAGCTACAGCTACCACACACATTAGGCCCACCACACTGAAGTACATCAGCTACCACACATTAAGTCCACCACTGAAGTACATCAGCTACCACACATTAAGTCCATCACTGAAGTACATCAGCTACCACACATTAGGCCCACCACTGAAGTATATCAGCTACTACATATTAAGCCCACCACTGAAGTATATCAGCTACTACATATTAAGCCCACCACTGAAGTATATCAGCTACTACATATTAAGCCCACCACTGAAGTATATCAGCTACTACATATTAAGCCCACCACTGAAGTATATCAGCTACTACATATTAAGCCCACCACTGAAGTATATCAGCTACCACACATTAAGTCCACCACTGAAGTACATCAGCTACTACATATTAAGCCCACCACTGAAGTATATCAGCTACTACATATTAAGCCCACCACTGAAGTATATCAGCTACTACATATTAAGCCAACCACTGAAGTATATCAGCTACTACATATTAAGCCAACCACTGAGGCACAGCTATGAATATCAGAGATATCAGCTGTCATTATAACACTGAGATAAATGTGCTACTATTATCATCACCGATATAAAGAGTGCTATATAGTGTAACTACTATTATCATCACTGAGATAAAGAGTGCTATATAGTGTAACTACTATTATCATCACCGATATAAAGAGTGCTATATAGTGTAACTAATATTATCATCACTGAGATAAAGAGTGCTATATAGTGTAACTACTATTATCATCACCGATATAAAGAGTGCTATATAGTGTAACTACTATTATCATCACTGAGATAAAGAAGCCATATTATAGCTATTTACTTTTACTCTTATCATCACTAAGATAAAGAGCGCTATAATAACTCCTTTTATCATCACTGACATAAAGAAGCTATAACATAACTATCTACTATTAACATCACTTAGGTAAAAGACGCTATAGTATTCTATCTACTGTTATCATCACTGAAATATAAGGTGCTATAGTATAACTACCTACTATTATCATCACTGATATAAAGAAGCTATATTATAGCTATTTACTGTTAACATCACTGAGAAAAAGAGCGCTATAATAACTCCTTTTAACATCACTGAGATAAAGAAGCTATACTATAACTATCTACTTTTATTACCACTGATATAAAGAAGCAATAATACACTCGTTTCTGGCAAATGTATGAACGACAAGAAATGATTTAGGAAAAAACGCCCAGCCGACATCAACGCTCATTTATCGATTACTTTCTTGGCCCGGCTTCCAGAGGTTAAACTCCCGCCACCGTCTGCGTGGGAGGGAGGGGAGCGCAGGGCATAGAGATTTGGTAATTACATCAGTGGTTAGGGCGTTTTATATAATAATTTCCTGGGTAAATGGGGTCGCCCTTTTGTTGTTGGGGCCTGAGGTTAATCAGTATGGACAGTCGACAGCTGTACAGCGATTGGGCAGTTCCGCATGAGCCGTGAGATGTTGCAGAGCTTACAGGCGGGCGGGTCGGGGCTGCAGGAATTAACCAGAATTGGCAGTCACGTGATGAGATCAAACACTTGTATCGAATAAAGCAGGGACCGCGACTGTCAGCCCTCAGAAGCAGAATAGAAATAAAAATCCACAACAGCATGAGGGAGCCACAACAGCAAGAGGGAGCCACAACAGCATAAGGGAGCCACAACAGCAAAAGGGAGCCACAACAGCAAAAGGGAGCCACAACAGCAAGAGGGAGCCCCAACAGCATGGGGAAGCCACAACAGTATGAGGGAGCCACAACAGCAAGAGGGAGCCGCAACAGCATGGGGGAGCCACAACAGCATGGGGAGCCACAACAGCAAGAGGGAGCTACAACAGCATGAGGGAGCAATAAACAGCATGAGGGAGCCACAACATCAAGAGGCGTGGAGGAAGAGAACGACACCAAGAGAGTGAGTGTTTAGTACAACGGCATAGATGGATTGAGAGGGAAAAAAAGGGGGAGGGGTGATATTTTCGTATCACTTCTTGTATGGGCGTCTCTTTCAGACGTTACTGCTACTCCAGAAGACAAGAAGGGGATACATGTTACGACCCTTGTCACGGGCACCAAACTGAAGATGCGCCTCTCAACAGCCAGGGTAATAATCTAAGAAAAGGATCCCATAGCCGACACATTGTAAATTTTAAGTCTGCCCGGTAAAAGTATTTATCACCAATAAAATCTCCACTGAAATTGTTGACAACAAAAGGGAGGTAAAGAGAAAAATGTCAGGACTTGATGGTTTCACGAGTGATTATTCTTACACAGGCTATCGGTTGTTGGTCAACCTCACCACACCTGATAAACTATAGCTAGATCTCTGTCTACAGGTCACCAGCTGCTGGCATAAGGCACGATTCCCACATACAGGGCCGGCTGGTCACTGGTCTTTGTTTGGCGGTGTTATTGTTAGTTGATAAAGCTTTGGTAGAAACGTTATGTGAATCCTGGACAATCGGTAGGCAGGCCAAACAATTTCTGGAGGCCTCAGAGATGTGGTTTTACAGAAGAATGCTTAGGAATACCTTGGACAGCCAAAAAGAGCAACCAAGAGGTTTTGAAAGAGGCGGGAGCCCGAAGACAACTTATCACTGACACAGAAGGAGACAGTCATAATTTTTCGGCCATGTTATGAGAAGAGGGAAAATAGAACATGTTGTGACCATTGGAAAGATCTGTGAAAGGAGGGATAGAGGAATACAACGAGAGAAGATGCTTGACGGTCTTGTTGCATGGCATGGAGGTGTGTCGGCACACAAACTGATACATGCTGCAGGAGATAGCAGATCATGGAGAGGCATGATCGCCCATGCCAGTTGGCAAGGCACCCGATGATGATGATGAGAAACGTTAACTTGCATCTGTGTCCCAGGCACCAGAAATTGGTGGTAAGATCCTTACTTTGTTCTCGCCCATCACCTTGACTACTGACACCGCCTTAATCCCACACTGTTTACTGCATCTGGTAATCTTAGCTCGGCTTTAAAGCAAACAGTCACAGTCCCTTGCGGACAGATTGAGACTGTTGTCTCAGCATACCTAGCATACACACGCATTAAAAGCATACGGTAGCCATCCGAAGTTCTAATACAAACAGTCCGACATTAGAAATGCAGTTTATCATTGATGGTAGCAGAAGTCGCCAACAGATCAGCAGTTGCACACGCGATCAATTTTAATCACATAATGGCGCCACCAATATTGCATCAACAGCCATGCGCCATTTTCTGAATCTACAATTCATTTGTCACAGTCAAAAACATTCCAAATGAAATCCACAGCTCTCAGTGTCACAACATGCACTCAAAACAGTGGGCGTGCCTAGCGTCCATTTTGACCAGAATTCATGTTTACTGCATGTATGTGCTCAACTCTGCCCAACATATGCATGCACCTCTTCCCAGTTGAGATTACTATCAGGTGTTGCAGGACAGGACACATTCGACTGTGCTACCTATTGTACCCGAGACATATTTGATATCAGTAGGTCTTGGTTGCCCAGACCTGTACCGAAGTCAGTGTTAATGAAGCAAGCAGTTCTACTTACCACCATGTCGGACTTGTCCAGGCTGTGTTTGTCCTCTTCTTCCTCCTCGCCCTCCTCTTCCGGTTCCTCTACTTCAATGTCCGCCCCCGTTGTATCTGGACTGGCTGACGCTGTCGCAGCCTCCTCTTTCTGGGGGTTCGAAGACAGGAAACAGTCAGCAGTTTGTTCTAACTTCAATATCACAGAGACATCACATCACAGTCAGAACCTTGTTGGGACTTCAATATCACAGAGACATCACATCACATAGTCAGAGGCTTGTTCAAACTTCAATATCACAGAGACATCACATCACATAGTCAGAAGCTTGTTCAAACTTCAGTATCACAGAGACATCACATCACAGTCAGAAGCTTGTTCAAACTTCAATATCACAGAGACATCAATCACATCACATAGTCAGAAGCTTGTTCAAACTTCAATATCACAGAGACATCACATCACATAGTCAGAACCTTGTGACTAATGTTTGATTATGATTAAAAAGGCCTTTTAGAATTTTGTAATAGAAAAACAGGATCAAATGAAAGTGAATTTCACTTGCAACACGTTGAATTTGATTGCTACAACGCTGAATCTGATTTGTAAAAGGTTGAAATTGGCTTCTCAATCCTGAATAAACAGGCACGACCATAGAAGCAACAAAGAGGATTTATGGAGAAAAAAGGTTGAAATGCCCAAGAAACAAAACTTAATATACAGTCGGTTTGTTTCTCTCTGAATGAGGTGCATGCCGTGTGGAGTTCCTATCTGATACTGATGTTAATTTGGTACCAAACTGACAAACATGCTCTTGATTGATCTTACTCCTTTTCATTTTTCATAACAAACCCAATGGTTGTAGACTGTCAGTTCTATTGGACAGTTAATAGCTGCCCACAGACAAGAGGTGGCAGCAGCAACACCTACCTCAACTGGAAGCTCAGCCCGAGAGATGACCGGCGGGCCTCGGGCGATGACGATCTCCGCAGTGCCTCTGATGCTCTGCAAGACTCGGATGGCGTCGTGGTGGGACACTTCTAGCGGCTGACCATTGATGGCCAGCAGCTGGTCACCTTCAAGCAGGCGTCCATCTCTGAAAGGGAAAACAAAATCATAATACTCTTCAATCCAAAAGTATGTATCACTTTTTTATAATCCTTACACTCCTTTTTCACTTCCGGATTTTTCTTCCTCTTCTTCTACGTCTGAAAAATAGATTCCTTGGCAGGTAGCCAGACAGAAATACAATGTAAGCAGGTTCGTTGTCATATCCTGTCTATGTGACGTGGACGCCTGTCTATGTGACGTGGAATCCTGTCTATGTGACCTGGACGCCTGTCTAAGTGACATGGAGGCCTGTCTATTTTATGTCCATGCATTTAGCGCCATCTTAAATAGACAGAAATAATCACACATCCAGGCACACTGTATTGCGTTTACAAACTCGCGCCGTTGAATCTGTAACTTCTCGATTATTACTTATCATATAAACGCGACTGTTGCTTGGGCTTCTGTTTTCATCTGGACGTTAATGTCTTATACCTAAATGTTATTTACACTGCAAAGTCGTAGTGAAAAGGGCGTTTTCTTTGTTATATTCATCACTTGTATAATTGTATTAGGTAATAAAACAAATGTTTACAGTATCGGTTCTGTGGCTAAGTCGATGCGAACGCTCCGGGATGTCGGAATCGATCCCAGCTGCGGGTCATGCGCTTTGCATTGGTTTCGACAGTGGTATCAAGAAAGCCAACCGTCCAGAAAGCAATGGAAAACTACTGAACGTAAATTTGCCTATAAAAACTATACAACAACCAGGGGCTGCTGGGGTTAGTTCTGCAACGTCCTGTAAAGGATACGCAACTAACCTTACAATAGCGACGTAAATGGCCCTTACCAAGGAAGTTACGCCTTTACAATTTGCCGTTCGACGTAGAGACGACACGTCACAGCAGACTATGTTTGTAGCGCGTTCCGACACTTTCAGCGTAAAGGTTGTGGTCTTTTTCGGAATCCGGGTACAACACAAGAAACACGTCTTCTTTGGGTCCTTTGGTTGCATATGAATTTTGTGCTGTAAAGGTCTTCAAAGCAAATCCAGCAAACTAAGTACATTTTACCCCACCAGGATATCACACAAGCGTTAAAAAAAAAACACCGGTGACACAAAGTGTCACCATGCGGACTAGGATCGCCCGAGGAGAGGTCCTGGAAACCGCGTTGAACCGTTTGGCTATATTTATTGCGGCCTCTGGCAACAGCCAGGCTGGGGCTTCAAAATAACAAACAAAAAATTGCATCCTACATGGGGACGACAATTTATTAACCTCGGATAAGCAAAAATATTATTGAGGTCACAAGGGGGACGGGGTGTGAATAACGCTGAGAATGTAGTAAATATGAAGCAGGACCTCCCAAGGGTAGAGAATACAGACAAAGACTGACACACTGATCCTCAAAATTGGAGGGAAAGGGTGTGGGAGCAGCAAACCAACTTTCGAAAAACTTCATTTAGTCGCGAAACAAATATTCAAGCCTCGATTTCAGATGGAAAACGGACAACCAAGCTGTAACTATACATCCTTGGTGTCAGCAACTGGAAAAAGAGGACCAACCAGAGAAATGAATGAAGGCGGGTGACATCCTCAGGGGCTCGGAATGTTGAAGAAGGAGGAGGAGGAGCAGCAGCAGCAGCAGCAGCAGCAGCAGCAAAAAGAAGAAGAAGAAGAAGAAGAAGAAGAAGAAGAAGAAGAAGAAGAAGAAGAAGAAGAAGAAGAAGAAGAAGAAGAAGAAGAAGAAGAAATACACAACACACAGACAACACACACACACACACAACACACACACACAACATGACACTTAAGGAGAAACTAGAGCGACACTCCCAGTTCCATCCACCCCAAAATGAGGACAACGATCTGCTGGTGTCTAGAACAGATCCAAAGTGAGGACAACCGGAAGTGCTACAGCCTTCTAATGACGTGGACAGGATGTTTCCCCAAGGGGTTGGCAGTAGCCAGGAAACGTCGGACACTGCCCCAAGCCCACCCAACAATATACATCAGCTGACAGGATTATGTATCTCCGGCTATCTCCGGAAAGTCGGATGTGGTAATATAGGGACACTTAGTGGCGCCCCAGGCAGATGTCTGTGTTGTTTCCCACATCCAGTGTTGTATATCAGACACGCTGGGAGGTGGGGACTGCGGCTGTCTGGCACATGTATAACTAGTGACATACTGTCTCCTCGTTAGCATCTCTATCGCTTTATTTTCCTGTTGAAAGAGACATATTTAATCACTTTCTTTTCAAAATGAATGGGTAAAAAAGGAGGGGAAACGAGAAAGGCGGCGGGGGGGGGGGGGGGTGAGCGCGCATATACGTAACCAGGTTTGCACCTGACTAAGAGATGTGATTTAAGTTAGTTGCGTATCCTTTAAAGGACGTTGCAGAACCAACCCCATCAGCCCCTGGCTGTTGTGTGGTTTCTCTAGGCAAGTTACATCCAGTAGTTTGCCATTGCTTCTGGGCGGTCGGCTTTCTTGATACCACTGTCGAAACCAACGCAAGGCGCATTGCCCGCAGCTGGGATCGAACCTGGCATCCCGGTATTACTAAGCGAAGCGTTCGCATCGACTTAGCCACAGAGGCGACATAGATGTGATTGGCTTGGTGATAAACACACAATTCTATTTTTCTTCCTTTTCTGGGATCAGTGAAAGAGAAGATAACCGCCCTTCTGGACAAGGTTGAGATCTCCACTGTTCTATGTGTCAGCTGCACATGTCAGAGAATCTGTCTGCGTTAGGTCCCTTTTCTACGTCTTAGGGCATACAGGGCATAAAGGGTGCATTAGGTATGACAAAATGTCGAGAATCAAAAGCAACTGTCAGGAAGCAAAAGATTCAAAGTAAGAGAAACACAGATCTCAAACCAGCACCTGTGAGATCAGGTTCCTGGGAAATCTCTCCACTCGAGACTGAGCGAAACACCATATGATCAGACACATTATAGATCACATGTCTGGAGAATGTCTCCACCCGAGACTGACTGAGACACCATACCATCAGACACATTGTGGAACGACACCTCGTGCTACAAACCCAGAAGCTTAAGACAAAATGGTCTGAGCAGCTAGGTAAAATGTAACAACGCCAGATAGCACCACAACTGTTACACTACAGAAAGGTGAGAGATACACAAGGTGTTCACTGACGCCGACTGGCAGTTGCAACACCATCTAGTTATTCCCACGTGACCTGCTGGTGGTGATGATGGTGACAGAAAATGACAGAGTCTGGTTTCGCTTTCCCATTCCAAAGTCCATGCCAGTTTGTTTCATGGAAATACCATCAACCTACCTTTCCAGTTTGTCTCATGGAAATACCATCAACTTACCTTCCCAGTTTGTCTCATGGAAATACCATCAACCTACCTTCCCAGTTTGTCTCATGGGAATACCATCAACCTAATCCTAACATGGGCCCTGAACTCCACCAGGACACTACAGAAGACAGCGTGTGTATTCGCCCCTACAAGGGCGGCTGACACGTTGGAGTTTGCAGCTAGGCTGTGATATCTGCACCTATTAACCAAGCACATTCGATATCTGTAAATCCTTAATGTGTCGCGCTTTACAAAATGCTACCTAGAAGGGGCAGTGGATCCCCCCCCCCCAACCCATACACAGGTATACTAGGACAACACAAAGCGACTGTGTGCGGACAGGAGCCACTAGTAGCCATTTGGACACTGTGCAAGCGGCTGTTGAAGGCAGCGGTAATAGGGCGAAATTTCATTATGAAATCGTGGGCTACAAACACAAGCAAATAATCAACAGGAAATAACTTCTCTTTTTTTTTTTATAAATCTCATCTTATCTAGACGAGATTTAATGCCGCTTTAGAATTGACGTTTTGCTCTCCTAGTTTGGTGTTGGGGAAGACGGAGGAACTAGAGAGAGGGGGGGGGGGGGGGGGGGACAGAAAGAGACGGAGAGAGAGAGAGAGAGAGACGGATAAAGAGACAGAAAGACAGAGTGACACACATAGAGAAAGAAAGAGGTTACGCTGTTAGCAAATACCCGGCAATCATGTGAGTTTATCAAACACATGGAAGGTGGTAAACCGACAAGCTGTGAGTATCGCTGGCTTCAGATGCTAAACATACAACCTGTTGGCGACTTGACAAGAACAGCCAGGTAGAACTACCGCAGACAGCCACTTGGTTGGGAGGGGGGGGGCGCAGAATGAGCACAAAGTAAAGACCGTCAACAGATGGAGCGATGGCATCACACTAACTTAGAGAAGGAAGAATGAAATTCATGAGCATAGCGGTAGACTTTGTGCCTTTCCCTGAAACGACACTGGGGGTAAATGGAGGAAGCATAAAAGAGGGGGAAGAGGGGGTAGATGAATCAGAGGAAGAGTATTGTTCTTGCACGCGTTTATTGTTCTGTACGTACAAGTAACAAACTTGGACCCAGCACACTGTGAAAAGTAACGAAGCTGGGCCCAGGACTCTGTGATTGGACGTTCATTCATGCGTCTCAACCTTTGAGTCGCGCAAGTCTAAGTGGCAGGGGTGTCAGGTCGGTGCGAGGTTGTATTTTGTAGACGGTCTTAAAGGCGACTCGCGTGCTTTATATTATAGGATGTGAGCGGTTTCAACGGCTCCAAAACAACTACAACTGTCTCTAACCCTCCACCCCCTTACCCCACACACTAAGCCCTAGGTCCCACGAGGAAGTGCATTCTACGCCCAGTTGTTTAAGACTTCTTGACATTTTGCGGTCGCTCCCACAACGCTGTCTTGTTCCAGAAACCCAGCGGTACCCTCTTCGTCGCCGACAAAGCTAGACAGCTTAAATAAACTCATGTCCTACTTCAAATCCTAGACGGCTGTCATATACACAATAACAAACACTAAATCTGCTTACTAGTCAAAGCGCGATGTCGGCGGCCGCTGATCACAGAAGAACGATTAACACGCAACGCAGAAAGCTTTCTGAAGACAAGAGTACACCAGGACACCCCTCTAACACTGACCAGACTGACAAAGCATCAATGAAAGGTCAGCTATGTGTAGATGGGCCCAAGTTCGATACTTGTTCCGTTCTGTAAAGCGGACAACACGCGTCGGGGAGGAAATCTGCGCTCGCTGGGACTGGGGGTAGGAAGGAGGGGGAGGGCGGGGCGGCTTCATGTTTTTGTTACGTGACCAGGACAGCGGGCACCACCAGGCTAAATAATCTTTCCGACTTTTTTTCTTATGATCTTACAGACTGATAGAATAGACATGATCTTCTGAGGCATGCTTAAGAGGCAAACAGACACAAGTAATCTATCAATGTAGACAAGAGTAAAATTATCGTATCGGTATTTCCGCAACAGACGGACATAAATTGTCAGGAACATGTCTTGTACCGAGACATGGTAAATTAATCAACAAGTGCGTCAGTACACAAAAGGCACCAAACGAAGACATCTAATACAAGGCACTTGACCAGTGACTTTTGACACGTGTGATACATTCAGACCTTCCATGACAGCTGGAATGCATGGAAGCTGTCAATCAAACATGGAGAGATTCTAGTTTCAAATCAGCTGAGATCTATCCCACCCCATACACACAGTGACTGTTGCCAGACTGAAAAACACAACAATAACTACCAGCAAGAGGAGTGTTCTACGACTTCAAACAGACATGGGAAACCTATCTGGTGACCTCAGAGATGAGTTTCTACTGAGAGATGATGGAAGTTCCGCGGACAGTCAACATGAGTAACTGCATGTCTTCAAACATGGTTCATAAGTGCAGACAACTTATCACAACATTTAGGCAGGTGCTGTTATAATTAATTGTCACTTTTCATGAGAAGTTGATGAGAGGAGGAGAAGAAGAAGGTGTTGTGACACTGTAAACATTCATTCAAAGAAGAACAAAGTTAGATACCGACAGGAACTTGCCGAGAGAATGTTATCATGGCATGACGGGCGGCGTCCGGCACAAGAAGTGATGCAGCCAAGCGAAGAGAAGAAACATAACTACGGACGCCAAACGAAGAGCGGAAACATGACTGCCCACGCCAAACAAGAGCGGAAACATGACTGCCCACGCTAAACAAGAGCGGAAACATGACTGCCACGCTAAACAAGAGCGGAAACATGACTGCCCACGGCAAATGAAGAGCGGAAACATAACTGCCCGCGGCAGACAAGAGCAGAAACATGACTGCCCACGGCAAACAAGAGCGGAAACACTACTGCCCACGTCAAACAAAGAGCGGAAACATGACTTCCCACGCTAAACAAGAGCGGAAACATGACTGCCGACGCTAAACAAGAGCGGAAACATGACTGCCCACGCCAAACAAGAGCGGAAACATTACTGCCCACGCCAAACAAGAGCGCTCTCGACGATACAGACGAATGAAAAGATCAGATAACCAGCAAAGATTTTCTTTATGGTCATAATGAGTGTATGCGCGCGCGTGCGCTTCCTTTCTCGGCAATTTTTATCACCTTGTCAATACCCCACCCCCCCCCCCCCCCCCCCCCCTCACCTTTCCCGTGAACTACTGGTTCTTTGCACGACAAACGAAGTCAATTCAATGTTTTAAAACAAAATCTACAGGAAAGGGAAATGTTACATAAAATCAGCTTCGAGCGCATTCATTTCATCGGCTTAAAAAAAAAAAAGCGGTTATGAAAAAAAAAAAAAAACCCCATATCGCTACAACGGTGCTTTCAATTTACAATGAAAACCCAGTTTCAATCATCTCATCTGTGGTGAGTGGAGGTAGGTGGAAGAGGTGGATAATGGAGAAGAAAGAGTGAGTGAGGACGGAAAATTCCACTGGAGAAATACATGATTAATTAGCAAGAGGCTGGGAGAACAAAGATGAGGGTGACATGTCGGTGGGATAATTGTGAGGCAGGAAGAATAGAGGTCTTTTTTTCTTCAGAACTACGTTTTATCAGTATTTAAAACTGCTAAGTTTATCATCTACTTAAATCTGGTTCGGCTGACCACAGTTCTCATGGCAACTACAGACCCATTTCTCTATTATCCATTAGAGAAGCACATACATAAAATAATGTTTTAGCCTACGACACAAATGAGGGTTTCCAGGAGGGAATGGAAACTGACTTAGAATATGCGTACAACAGCGTCCCATACATCATGATCATCAGACTGCTGTTGGATACGCAGACAGAAAC